GCGATTTAGTGCATTCTAGCTCTCCTTATTCTCAAACTCTCCTTGTAGTTCGAGTGACCTACTTGACTACAGACATCTAAGCTACCCTACAGCTAGGAGCTTCCAGATCACGCACCATTAATTGGCACCATTTGTGGGAAACGATCGAAAGGTCATCTCAATCCCAGTCTCAATCTCAATCACAGTCTCAACCTTAATGGCATCTTCCAGCAATACCAAAAAGAGCGACATGAACGTCGCTGGGGGGCAAGAGCAACAAACGACTATTCCCCAAGGTCCCTCGGTGACCATAGGTCAGTTCACTATTCCCTTGACAGTCTCGGAGGTTCCATCACTGTCTGTACCGCACACCACCCAACAGGTAAATGTCCCGTTCCCCCAAGTGAACACCACGTTCTCGGAGCCCTCTATGATTCCCCCTGGGGTCGGGCATTCCCAGTTTAACGACCTCGTTTAAAGTGTCCAGACGATGCAAATCTAGATGCAATAGATTCACCAGTTCCAACAGTTTCAACAATATTACTTTTACCTGTAGAAGTTCCCACCGCTGTAGCCGAACTAGCCAGCAGGTCAACATCAGAGACAAGCTCAGAACCAGAACCAACACTAGGCTCATTAGAATGCCCACCAGTCTCCTCCCCGTGGTGAGAGAACTTCATAGGTATCAGTCCCTCCCTCGGGATGAACCCCGCCACAGGGCATAGTAGATGAACGACGTACTCCGCCAGCCTCCCAAAGGGGGAACTCGAAGGATAGGCCCGAACCCTGCCAGCTCGAGAGGCATAGTCGGCAGCTCCTGTATCAGGACAACGTAGATCACCAGCTCGGGGCCCGAGGTGCGGGCTCGAGAGGAGACCCCTCGGTACCCCGTGACAGCTAGCACCGGTCACACAACGAAGAAGAAGCGACGAGAAGGACCCCCGATTTACCTCACCCCATCATTCGAAGCAAAATTGAGATACCTGACAACAATGAGGCTGGCAATACAAATGCAGCACCAACAAAGAAGCAGCAGCAGCGACGTCGCAAGACTCACCGTTCCTCAGCAAGGAATAGCCCGCTAGCAAAGCCCAACCAACCAGTAGATCGAAGCAGAGAAAGAGAAGAGTAGCTCGGTGGCCACGAGAATAACACCCGCTTTGTTGAGCTAGCCATCCCCCTTGTCTCTCGAGCTCCTAACGGCCCCAATGCCGAAAGATTTCAAGGTACCCCCACTAGACAAGTATGATGGGTCCTTCGACCCCAATTATCATGTAGACGCTTTTCCAGTCCTAGATGCATCTTGCTAGTGCCGAAGAAGCTTGCATGTGCGTGGCTTTCTCCACCACATTCAGAGGCGTAGTTCGGACCTAGTATTGGAACCTCGCGCCAGGTTCCATCAGAAGTTGGGTGTAGTTCGCAGACATGTTTATGGCCCACTTCATCACTAATAAGAAGTGCCCGAAGTCACAGGAGAGCCTTCCGAACGTGGTGCAGAGGGAAGGAGAATCAATTCGAAGCTACATCAAGCACTTCAATGAGACTTGCTTGCAGATACCAAACCTTGATCCAGCGGCACACCTTACCGCAGCTTGGAAAGGAATTATCCACAAGGAATTCAAATGGCATGTCGTAGCAAACAAGATGAAGAACATCCCCGAGTTCCTCAGGCTGGTCAATCAGTTCAGCATCATAGAAGAGGAAATAAACCAGAAGATAGATAACCAGCAAGGTGAAAAGAGAAAGAGAGAAGAAGAAGGAACGTGCAATAATAAGTAGAAGAGAAAAAAGAACAAATCGTCGAGGCAAAGAAGCAAGTCACCGCGCTCGAGGAGTAAGTCCCCCTCCCAAAGTTACAAGTTGGGTCAGCGTTCTAGGACCTCGCCAGTGGAGAGAACCAACGATACTCTCCTTAAAGTTGAGAGTGCAGCACTGCACCTTGCAGCCGAGGGAGAGGTCCTCTCTTGTCGGGTAGTGTTTGATCATTATGGGTTGAGAATTTAAGTGTAAGACCATTGAGGGTTATATTTGATGGGCTAATCTTGCATCTTCTCACAATCCTTGGGACTTCATAAGATGGCTTTACCCAATGACCATTTAGTATAAATGTTGGTCCATTATGAGCCCATAGTGATGGACTCAGGGGTTTACTATGTTTAGCAGTGAATTTGGCCAGGCCTTGTAACAGAGGCTAGGCTGAACCCATGTGGCTGATATGTAGATCAATGATAGGGTCCCACGCCATACAAAGAGAGCCAAGCTAGCCAGCATTAAAGTGGAAGTGAGCCTGAAAGCTTAATGGACATAAAAGCCAAATTTCGAACTGGGTTAATTAGATTAATTAAATAGGGGCGGATCTGAGATTTGGATCAATAGATAAGATAAGGGATTATCCTTATCCACTTAAAGAGTCCAGATCCAAATAAAGATTTGTATCAAAGGAACTCCTAATTTGATTAGAAATGTTGATTTTTATCTACAGATAAGATAAGAGATTATCCTTATCACTTAAAGAGTCCAGATCCAAATAAAAGATTTGGATTAGGAAACTCCTAATGTGATTAGGAAGTTGTCTCTTTAAGGCCATAAATAAGAGAGCAGGGTGAACCTCCAGACACATTCGTTGAATATAGAGAGAAGACAATACAGTTAGACTGCTCTTGCTTTCTACTCCTTTTCTTCCTGCTCTTGCCGCCCCACCCTGTTCGATCTCCAGTTCTTGGATTCGATCAAGATTGGATATTGATATTGTTTCTTGCGAGAAGAAATAATCTGGAAGCTGTGTTCACTGTCCCATTCGATTCTTGCTAAAGAATCTCTAGTTCTTGGTGAAGAACTACCTATTGATCTTGCCTCACCCTAAGCTGTGTCATCTTTAGTGGAGGAAGGATTTGGTACTCTCTTTGGACATGAACACCTACGTTGGGAGGAGCATTCTTGCATGGATTCCATATGAGGTATATCCCCTCCCTTAATTTGGTTTCAGATTTGGTCTGGTTTGGTTACAAGAACGAACCTTGAAAATGCAATTTTCTAAATTGGGAATAGGATTCCCAGATGGGAGTAAAGAAATTTTTGAAATTTCGCCCAACCTTCCTGTAGGGTTCGGCCATCCATATGATGGATCTCCCATCCCTTCACATGTAATAGCTTCCCCTGTGCTTGGGTAGAACATAGGCTGAACTTTTCTTGATAGAAAGGACCGAAGAAAAAGTGTCGAGGTCTAGAGGTCGGTTATAATCATGGAAAAGGGAGATGGTACCTACGATGTTGCAAATAGAATTTGGATGGAGTTGATCTATGGCAATATCAAAAAACTTGGCGATCTCAACTATTAAGGGGTGGAGTAGGAAGCACAGCCCGGTTACGAGCTGCTCCTTGAAAACCACGATCTCGTCATGACCGTGATCCCAAGTAAAGTTTCCTAAGAGAATGTTGTACAATAAGTTATTAGGTAGCCTATACCGAGCTATTAAGGGCAAGAGCCTGTTCGCTATCATTGAAGACAGGTCGAAGATGTCCGGCAAGTAACCCCGACACATCCTGTGCTGAAGTGCCCATCTCGGTAGGACGAGGCTCTGCGGTCTATGCCGAGGTGCCCACCTCGGCCCTAGTGGATTCACCACTCCCATCTAAAAGACTATCTAAGCTAAGGCTAGACATGCTAAAGGAATTGACAACGGAATCGAAAACAAAGGAAGACGAGCTCACCAAAGAAGATCGAAGAAAGCAAGATGACCTCGGGCACGGGGATAGCTGACATTGAGCTGGGAGACCTGAACGCAACCTCAAAGAGCTCAGACACGTGGTTTGTGACAAAGAAAATGGGCCCTTTAGCCGCTATTTATAGCCAGTATATCCAGTGATCAACAATCGAGATCTGCGCTATCCAACGGCTCCTAGGAAAACCAGTTGCATGCTACTCGAGGTTGAAATCAATTGAGCGTGTGTTTTGACGTCCACGAAGTTTATAATCGGCGTGACGTCCGCACATACTTGATACGCAATCTGAGTCATTTCCTAGTCGAGCCAAACGGTCAAACAGGTCCAACTAAGGGTCCGCCCTCCATACCACCTAGACATTGTGTCATATCCACCTGGGCTCGTCATGAACTCCCCGCGTCGGGTCAGGACCCCTAGCACGAGGAGTGGGGGGCAAATGATGAGGGGTGATTTGGCCTGACTTAGTAAGTAAAGGTCACGTGGACACGACCTGCTAGCTGGATGACAACTCAGCAAGGGGAACCTAGTAAGCAATTTGGGAGACCGGGTGTTCAGGCACCTCGGCACCAAAACCAGTTCGACGCCCAGGTACCGAAGTGACACATAGTCAACTCTAGAAGCTTCTAAGTAGACTCTGAATCTCCCAATATCACGCCGCGTAATGGTAAGCCTTATCCTCTCCCCACCCGGATCGGACAGTAACGATAAACTTCATTGATTGGTACGCTACTCTCCTTCTAAAGTGGAAACATATCTCACCTACGCGGACCGAGGATCCCAGAGTCGTTTCAAGAGAGCCACAACAGCTCAACTATATAAGGGCATTAACCCTTCCAGGGCCCAGATACGTGCAATTTAGTGTATTCTATCTTTCCTTATTCTCAAACTCTCAACTCGCATATACTATTACTGACTTAAGCATCGGAGCAACCTCGCCGGGTTAGCCACTCCGAGTTCTCTAATACCTCATTTTCCTTGCAATTCGAGTGACTTACTTGACTACAGGCGTCCAACCTACCCTACGGCTAGGAGCATCCAGATCGCGCACCATCAAAACAACCTTAAACAATGTGTGCTTTCACCCCATTAAACATTGTGTAAGGAAAAAGAGGTGTGGCCAGATAACTGTTATCCTGTAAAAGGTAACGCCGCAATACTGTGCGGCTCTTCTTCTTGGGCTGGGAAACTTCCGTGGGTCTATTGGCAACAAGAGGTTCCGACTGACAGAAATACCCTCTAACCCCAACTTAACCCATTAGACCCACCGATTTCCTTTCCATTTCCATCCATTCCTCCCCGACCCCTCTCCTGTCTTTCTGAGTTGCAATACAGATACCACCCAAATGAAGCACCTGGTGTTGCACAACAAAACTGCAACACCTGCCGGAGCTTAAACTGTGTAATTTTTGTGATAAGAAAATCATTTATGAGTTTGAAGCTCGTTGGAGAAATGGGGTTCCGGCGCTGGTATACCGGAGGTGAGGAGATTCAACGTTGTTGGTATTTACGAAGGAATTGCTGTGTCGAAGGGTTAAAGTAGCAATTGTGAATAGTAAGAGTATTTTAGAAATTTTAAAATAATTAGGATAAATCTCTTAAATTATCCCTACTATTTACGAAATTGATAAACTGTAATCTTACTATTTAGATATGGTTTTAAACTATTCTTAAGTTTTTTGACAATTATCTAACACTTCCCTTGCCATTAAATTTCCGTCACACTCTGTTCACAAAGTATTAATTATTTTAAAATTTCTAAAATACCTTTATTATTCACTGTTGTTGGAAGGAGGCAAGCGCATCTCTGCTCCTGGGCTCTCCTCTTCTAGGCTCGGTGAAGACGAAACTGATGATGCCACCGTCGGGGAGACGAAATTGCTCGGCGAAGGAGGCAAACCCATCTGCTGCTCCTGGGCTTTGCTCTTAAGCAGAGGCTCGGCGAAGATGAAACTGATGATTCCACCGCCGGGGAGACGAAACTACTCCTGGGTTCAGAGCAAATGGTGAGCCCAAGAGAGAATAAATGGTGAGCCTGAGTGAAAAAATGTGCCAGCTCCCGCTAAAATGATTTTCTTTTGTTTCAGGCAACATTTTTTTTTTCTGAAATAGTTATGTTGAGCTTCAAGTTAGCAGTTTTTATGAGTCAGAGAGTCATAACAAGGGCTCCGCCCCTTTTATTGTTTTTCGGATTTTCTCAGTAAAACAAGGGCTCCGCCCCTTTCTCTTTTGTTTTTAATGTTAAATCAGGGGCGGAGCTCCATTCTTCTTCTTCTTCTTCATATACAACCTGCACAAAAACAGGGGTTCTGCCTATGAATGCCACCACGCTCTGGCAGCTAGCCAAAGCCCATCCATCGTTGATGGAGTTGGAACCCAAAAGCCAACAAATAGACTCACCTGGGCCAGCGATTTTGACAGGTTAAGAGAAGCTGAAGATCGTGCAACTTTCATATTTCATTTTTTCAAATTTTCTTTATTTCTCCCCTTTTCCCCAACTCGAGCCTTCAGATTAAGGAATGTCCATGGCTGGGATATTCACATTAATCGCTTCCCGCTTAAAAGTAGCGAGGACAGAGAAACCTTCAGGTGTGTAATGTCTGTTTTATATTTGGTTGGCCGTGCCATATATTTTCCTAACAAAAAAGATAATAAATTCATCATTCATTTGCTGCTGCCCGTCAAGATTAAGTCCAAGATTCAAATTGTTGTAACTGCTGCCCATCCCCTACATTGGATGAGCTTCTCTTACAGCAGCGGCAAGTGTGGGACCTTGGTTTATTGGCCAAAATAGGCGGAAAACTCGATCTCATAATCAAGAACCTGATCAGCTTCAGAGCCCTGCCACAAGAATTCCTTGTCCGTGAAAGAAACAACATTGCTTTCAAGTTTCAGCACTTATAATATCCTTATTTGAGGTTACTGGGAAGAGGCTCAATGAGAAGAGGCCGTCCAGAATGGAATGTGTTCATCGAATAGAGAACAAGGGCAAAATGAACAACACAGTTAGTTGATTTTTATTTTGAAATTTTGTTGAATAGTAAAAGGTAAAGTTTGTCAATTTCGTGAACAGTAGGGGTGGTTTAAGAGATTTACCCAAATAATTACCTCACATGATGTTACATGTGAATGGAGTGTGATAGAAAATTAAGACAATGAAGATTTTAGACAGATGTCAAAACACTTAAGGGTACTTTAAGACAATATAAGACAACATGTAAACAATAACGGTACAATTTATCTGTGAAAGAAACAACATTGCTTTCAAGTTTCAACACTTATAATATCCTTATTTGAGGTTATTGAGAAGAGGCTCAATGAGAAGAGGCCGTTGAGAATGGAATCGTGTTCATCGAATAGAGAACAAGGGCAAAATGAACTGGTCTACACAGTTAGTTGATTTTTATTTTGAAAATTTGTTGAATAGTGAAGGGTAAATATAAGTGTAAAGTTTGTCAATTTCGTGAACATAGGGGTGGTTTAAGAGATTTACCCAAATAATTACCTCACATGATGTCACATGCAAATGGAGTGTGATAGAAAATTAACGGCAAGGGAGATTTTAGACAATTGTCAAAATTCTTACGAATACTTTAAGACAATATGTAAACAATACAGTTTGTCAATTTTGATGAATGTAGTTTAAGAGATTTACCCTATAATTAATACCACACTCCTCATCCAATGGTAAATTCATGCTTATCATGTGACTTACAATTGTTTATGAATCAATTTAGAGGTGTAAATCGTATCACAGGCTAGTCTATGGGCTGAGTCTTAGGCTAGATTGGACCGTGAATCAAGCTATGGTAGGTATCACAATGGGGAAAATACACAAATGCCCCTTAAATTTCACCTAATTTTCTTTATCAAATGAATCCCAAAACTTGGTGATTTCATAATGAGAAATCAACGTACGCAACGATATCAAAATCGACGGCCGGCTATAAGACTGCCTTTCACTGTACGCAACTCCCCCTCAAGGCAATGGACATCTCGAAGCGCTTCTGTCCCTCTCGAGAATGCTCGCCTACACGCAGAAACCACGATCGTCGAACACCCCGACCAGCAAGTCTCTCCTGCACCATCTAGAATGGATCAAACCGCTGCTGAAATATGCACTCCCTGGATCAACCACATCAAGTACTGAACAGCTATTAGGTACCTCCTGAAATCAGGACCAACCACTATCTGACGATGAACTGTTCACCGCCACTGTTCATCGTCTCCTTCGTTGAACAGCGGCGGCACTCCTTCTCTTCTCCTTTACTGGATCCCGAAACCACCAGCCACCCCAACCTAATTCATGTTGAGCCCAACCAGGATCAAACCGCTGCTGAAATCTGCACTCACTGGATCAACCACATCAACTACTGAACAGCTATTAGGTACCTGCTGAAATCAGGTATTCCACTCCCTGGATCAACCACTATCTGATGATGAACTGTTCACCGCCACTGTTCATCGTCTCCTTCGTTGAACAGCAGCGGCACTCCTTCTCTTCTCCTCTACGGGATCCCGAAACCACCAGCCACCCCGACGAGATGGTGCGGATGGATCAAACCGCTGCTGAAATGAAAGGTACACTACTTCGCCTCTTTGTTGGACCCCGGCGCGAACAGTGTGGTCTCTGACCAGGATAAGCAGCGGTTTTCAGTTCATGCCTAGAAAATCATGGAAAAGGAAAACTGGTTTTTCTTCCTTGTTATTGTCGTTGTTGTTCTTGCTGCTGCTGCTGCAATTACTGTTATTATGAGCCATCATCGGTACAGCCATTTCATCGGTAAATCATTCTGTGGATCTCGTACCGAAGTCCCCCCACTCCCCCGAAATAATAATTTAAATAAATAATCATCCTCACAAAACAAATTAAAAAGAAAGGAGAAAAGGGAGGTCGAATTTTCAGAAAAGATAAAGTAGAGAGAGAGAGATAGATGTGAAGAGAGGGAGAGAGAGAAGAGCATTAAAAAGCAAAAGTTGTTTCTTCACTCTCTGTGTTTCATTTCATGGGTTCCGTGGTCTGTTTCGTTCTGTTCTGCTCTGCCTCTGTGCTCGTGTTTTATAGCATTTTTGTGTTGTTGCAGAGAGAATACGAGATGGTAAAGGATTTGATCCGACGGAATCCGATGCATGGAAGATACCACTACTTCCAGCATTAAAAAGCAAAAGTTCTGTTCTGCTCTGCCTCTGTGCTCACTTACACGGGATCCGACGCATCCAGCAGAAAGAAGCAGCCAGCGGTGAACCGTTTGGATTCTGTTTCATTTTCTTGAAAGAAGATGATGAACAGTACATTTTATTTTTATTTGTAAGGGTAATTTTGATATTTTTAAAAGTGTTAAATCGCATATGAGGTCACTGATATACATAACTGAGGGTCCATTACGCACTCGGCCTAAAGTACAGGGTACCTATCAGGAATTTTCCCTTTTTTTAATTTGAAAAATTAAAAAAATTAAAATAAATTAACAAAATAGACAAAAATTGAATTTTTTTTTTAAGTTTTATGTTATATGAATTTTGATGTATACAATTGTTTATATATGCAATAATAAAATAAAATAGTATAATAAAATTGAAAATAAAATTATATATCTATATATATACTAGTAATTAATTTTCAATTTCTATCTTAACTATAATATATCTAAAATTCAAGTAATTACATACATATACTAGTAATTAAGCACATGCATTGCACGTGATAAATTTTTTTCTTCATATTAATTAGTTGAATTTTAGATAAATCATAGTTAAGATAGAAATTGAAAATTAACAAAGATAATGATATGATTAAAAATAAACTTAAATATTTATTATTCAATTATGACATCATGGGTTTCTTTGAAAAATTGGATCATTGACCCACAGTGTAGATAAGAAAATAGCTTTGCTTTTGGATTGATTTTAAATTAGGGAAAATTATAGTCGGAGCTGGTTGTACATTTAAAGTTAGGCTACAAGTTGGTCTATAAACCAACAAAACTTTGACAACTGGCTTTACATTTCAAATTATAAAAACACTCACAATGTCATCAGAGGCCTATGTGGAACATGTGACTCTTAATCCATGTTGGACACAACAAAAAACTTATACTGAAATTGCCCTTTAATGTTGGGTGATTGGAAAATAAAAAAAAGGGTTTTTAGTCTCTCTCTCTCTCTCTCTCTCTCTCTCTCTCTCTCTCTCTCCTTTACACTCTCTCACTCACAATCATCTTTATCTACTCAACAGCTATGTGATTTGAAAATAAATAAAAAAGGTTTTTGATTTTTGTATTTACGTTTTGTATATCAATTTCTCTCATTCTCTCTCTACCTATCGTTCTCCCTCAATCTTTCTCATTCTCTTTCTTAGTCGATCTCTCCTCCCTTAATTTCTACTGTTCTCCCTCAGTTTGTCTCCCGCTCCCTCTGTCATTTTTTTTTAAATTTTCTTACACACTTATATGGTTTAATCATATCATATAAAAGAATATGAGACCAACTTGGTATGGTTCAAAAATCATTTCACCAATTTGTTAAAAATTCACAAGAAACTCTTGGCTATGAATTGGAGAACGATAGAGATTGGGGGAGAAGGAGATATTGACCAAATGGGAGAGTGAGGGAAAAGAATGAGAAAGATTGTGGGAGAGAGAGAGAGAGAGGTTTTGATTTGGCGACAGACCTGAGAGAGTGGGAGAGACAGAGGGAGCAAGGATCGAGAGATGACTATGAAAGTGAGAGAGAAGGGAGGGAGATCGAGAGACAAAGGGAGTGGGAGAGAACATGCAAACCTATTTTTGGTATAGGTTTCTTGCTGTGTCCAACATGGACTAAGAGTCCCATGTTGGCAACAACCACATAAGCCTCCGATAATATGGCGGGGTTTTCTATAATTTGAAATGTAAAGCCGTTGTTAGAGTTTTGTTGGTTTTTGAACAAACCTGCAACCTAATTTTAACTGTACAACTGACTTTGATTATAATTTTCCCTTTAAATTATATATTTCATTTACATTATATAAAATATTTCTTTACATATTACATTTGATTTTTGTTTGTCTATGGTATCATTTAACTAAAACTACTAACCACCATCTAAAAATAAAAATTGTTTGATTTCTAAGTTGACATTAAATTTTGTATTACATCAATCATTGATAAAATTAGTTCTTAAAACTTATTTTGTTCAATATAATGAATGCACAATATTAGAGATGTACCTAGTATTTTATTTTTTATAAATATATAAAATTAGATATGTTGCCCAAAATTTTCTCTATCATTTTTTTTTAAATTTTTGTGCTTTGTATTTTCTATTATTAAAAATTTTATTATGTGACTATGATATCATTTCATTTCTTGGCAGATTTTGAATTTCACATTTCATTTCCATCATTAATAAAAATACTTCTTGCATTTCATAGTTACTTATTTTAAATTTTTATTATTTAATTAGGAATTATTTATTAATCCATTTGACCCCAAATGGTCAAATTGCTTGCCCACCACCGAAAGGAAAGAAAATGGTTTTGTTTTCAAAATATTTATTTTTATACTATTAAAATTAATATTGTGGATTTAATTACAAGAATTTAATGATAAGAAAATTATATCTTAAATATAGGATTTAATGAGAGAGAATATGAAAATATTTTTATTTCCATTTGGTTTTAAATTTTACATTGCATTTCCATCATTAATAAATACATTTCTTATTTATCATACTTATTTTTGTTTAATATGTATGTTAGCAATGTTCCTAACTTTTTTTATTTTATCTATTTTTTAATTTTATTATTTAATCGTGGCAACATGGATTAACCATTTGACCCAAAATTAGGAACGACAACGGGGCAGGGTGGGGACGAGGAGCCTCTCCTCATCCCCGTTCCCGCAAAAATCCCCCTCCCCATCCCCGTGGGGATCCCCATTCCCCATGATTTTTTATAATGTTAACCATTTTGTTTTTATTTTTTATTTTATTTAAAAAATAAAAATAAAATAATTAAAATTTACAATCCTATTAGAAAAGATTCAAACATATTCAACCATATTTTTAAAAATATTAATATATAGATGTATGTGTACATATATACATATATAATGTATGCATACATATGTACATATATATTAGTGGGGATCCCATGGGGAGGAGATCGGGGTCCCCACGGGGCAGGGGGAGCTCTCTCTGTCCCCGCTAATGGGGATGAAAATTTCCCCATCCTTGTCCTCGCGAGGGGAAAATCATCCCCATCCCCACCACATTTGGGGCAGATCCCCACGGGGATCAGGGAATGGGAAAAATTACCATCCCTACCCAAAATGATTTAATTTCTTACCACCACATAGATGAAAACACTATTTTTGCTAGGTATATTTTAAAAGTATAAGCTTTTATGTTACTGGAATTATTAATTTATTAAGTATGAATTTAATTAATCTTAATGATGAAAAGAAACAAAAATGACTTAAATATATGATTCAATGAACATAAATGCAAGTTAATAACTTAAATGTTAGATTTAATGAAAGAGAATTGAATGCATTGAATATCTTTAAATTACCCCTTTTCAACTCATTTAATATCAAGAACCGATTTCCCTATTTGCCCTCATTTTTTATCAATAAATTTAAATATAGTATATATATATATATATGTATATGGGGGGTGGCCAACATGGCTTGCTCAATTAAGCCGGCCCATAGGCTTGGAAACCTAAGCTTGACATGACCCATCCCATCATGCCATGCCTAGCACGGCCCGCGTTCTATCGTGTTGAGTCGTGCCGGCCCAACCCAATTTACAGCTCTATGAACCATGAATCAGGCAAGCCTTAGCAGTAGTAGATTAACAATGTCATGTTGGAAGAAAATTTGGAATCTTAATATTCTGCCCAAAATAAAGCATTTCTTATGGAAATGTTGCCTAAATAGCATGGAAGTCAAGCATATTTTGGTTGATCGTGGTATAAATGAAAGCAAAAATTGTCTTTTTTGTGTGACTCAGCTCTTGAAAACATTATACATTCTCTTTTATTATGTGTTCATGCCATGCATGGCTTTTTTGTTTGGCTGTTTCTTTAGGTTATGTTTGGTTTGAAAGAAAAAGTAAGGAAAGGAAGAAAAAAGTAGAAAACTTATAGGAGGTTTGTAAAGATTTCCCTACTTTTCTCTACTCTTTCCTTCAAACTAAACACAGCCTTAATATATCTTTTATATTGTGGATATTATGTTGGAAATTCCTTTGCTGATTGATGGTCTGGGTGGCTAGATCAAGACCAAAAGCTCATAGGTGCTGACTTTTCTTTGGTGGAATTCGTTGCTATTCATTTGTGGAATATTTGGCTTGCTCAAAATGAGTTCATCTTCACTGGAGTGCGGCCTAATCTTGTTTTCACCGTCTCTTGTACCAACAAATTAATGAAGTCAAGAGAGAGCTTTCCATCCAGAATCCGAAGATTGTTCGCCCGTTAAGGAGCTATGTGCTCCTCCTTTTCTGTGAAAACTTCCAAAGCCAGGTGTTTTGAAGGCAAATGGTAGCTAGCTTTACCAATTATTAGGTCAGAAATGTTGGCTCTTTTGTCTTTGGGAAGTGTGGATCCATTTAATTAGCTGAACATGCATGCAAAAGTTGTTTGGTATTAAGGAATGTCACTTATGATCAGCTAAGGAGCTTGGTTTATCTAATGTGATCTCTCTTTCTTTAGTCAAAGTACTAAATAATCTTTTAATTCTTCACCTTTGGCTTAGCCTTTGGTGAATGATATGTTTATCATGTTGAAGAGGAGACCGGATCTGCTCCTCACACAAGGCGTCTCATTCGCGCTTCACATTCAAATCGTATTATGCATTCAAAACATCTCTGTACAGGGCGCCTCACTCGTGCCTTACATGCACATCATACTATGCATTAAGAATATCTCCCGTACTTATAAGTTATATATTATTCATGGGAGATGTTCCCGATGCACGATGGATGTGCATGTAAGGCGCCCCTGTGTGAGGAGCAGATCCCATTCCTTCTCGTACCAATAAATTATTATTTACGGGAGATATTCTCAATGCACGGTGAATGTACATGCGAGGCGCCCTTGTGTGAGGAGCAGATCCCATTCCCACCCACCCCCGAATGGTTGATCTCCCCTTATGGAAGCGGATTTATACTTTAGTGGAACTCGACCAACCTAATTACTTAGTTTTCTTGTAATCCTCTGTTACATATGTGTGAAAATAGAGTTTTGTAACACAAGAGAGGTAAGAAAGATTAAACCTAGGACTAAGAGACATTGACCAAGTAAATGATCTAAGATTAGGGTGTGTGATACATGTCAAATAATTCGTGCCACTTGTTCCCATGCAAACCACCTTCTTCCTCATTCTCCTTCACTATTATCACCAGACTTCAATTCCCCCATTCTCTCTCTCTAGCCTCCCCATCTTTCCATGGAGAAGCGGGTCACATTTACTGCCGGCCGCGTCAAACAAAAACATTCCGCACCAACACCAAAACCAACACCATCGCCAGAACTCGCTTCTGGGCCTGGAACCTATATCATCCAGTTCCCCAAGGAACAAATATATCGCGTTCCACCCCCGGAGAATGCTTTAATCGTTGAACAACATCGTGAGCAAAAACCTACCAAAAAAGCTACTTTTCCTCCTTGGCTGTTGAAGCTCCTGGTATTCGTCTTAGTTTTCATTTTAATCTTAGGCATCATTGTAGCTTTATTCTACGCCATTGTGCAACCAAGGAGCCCAAAATTCTATGTCCATCGTGTGAGTGTTAAGAAGCCAGGATCTCAGCATGGAGATGCTCGTAGTCGTCGTCATCATCGACACCATCACCAATTCCCACAATATGTCATTACCTTGAAGGCTGAAAATCCGAATAAACGCATGGATATTTTCTACTTAAAAGGTGGTCATGCCACGCTCTCTTTTAGAAAATCACAGATTGCTACCGGTAAACCTCCGACCTTCTACCTACGGACCAAGAATTCTACCACATTCCGACTAGTCCTTACTGGGTCAGATGTCGTTTTGCCTTATGAAATAAAAAAAAACATGAATGATCATGAATCCAAGAAGGAAAAGAGGAAGAAGAAGAAGAATAAGAAGCAGTCAGGCATCGAATTGTCTCTATCAATCAACCTTCCCAAGAAGAAAGAAATCGGGTTGCTGCAATCATGGACCACGAATGAAGCTGTTGCATGTAAGTTTAGGGTTGATACGTTGGCAGAAGGAACACATGTCATGTCTCAGCGATGCCAAACCTAGCTAGGTCCAAATTAATTAATATAAACAAAGTGGTGCTGGTGGAAATAAGAAGCTTTCAGTACCCATACGACCGTCTCCTTCAGTCCTCCTTCTTCTTCATCTTGTGGCTTCTTCTAAGTCACTGTTCCGAAGAGAGAGATCATATAAATGCATTTGCTGTACGTATCTTAAACAAGGCATGAGGACGGTTACCTGCTTAATTACCTCATTTTCATGCTTCTTTTCTTTTCTCATATGTTTTTCCTCTTTCAGATGCTATAGGAAGTTTTGTTGTTCTGATACTGTAGATTTTCTTCCGCGACTACATTGTAAATTTCTGAGGCTTCTTCCGTCAGTATATTCGAGTTTGATTTTTGTAAGCATCTGTTTAGATAGATTTGTTTGTTTGTTCTTTCTTTTCAATTCCCAACTAAGTGAAGTTTATTATTGACCTGTTTCTGTTTTTTGTTATACGTACGTGTTATACCCTCGGGAATAATCATTTATATTAGTTTAGTGATAATGAGCGCCTGAAACCACTTGGGAATTTTGTGTGCAGTGTCTCCCATTCTTCTTCTTCCGTCCTTCACCAGGTGTGTATATTGAGGTAGGGTCTAGGGTGGCAAATGGGTGGATGGGTTAGGTTGGGTTGAGTTAGTATAGGTTAAATACCAATACATCCAATAACGACCCATACCCATTAATGATCCATATGACATCTCCATGCGCCTAACCGGCCCACACCCCGAATCATCCACCTTGACCCATTCAACTTTTTTAAACTAACTTAGGATTTGTGTGGATGATATCGATTATTGTGTAAATGCATGGTCAATGGTTCAGGTTGATTCATTTATCCAAAAATTGACATGATTTAGGGGAACAATGCTTACACATGGCGCTACAGATTTGGGTTAGTCCATGCATCCAGTAATGAGACCTAATTTAAAAGTAAAATTTTTTGCATGGCTGAGATTCTGCCAAATGGCATTGCTATGGTTAGATCTCCATATCCAAAAGAGATTATCGGTTACTGCACAAATCATGTCTTTCTAGTTTCTACTTTCCTCAATGGGTTTTATTATATCATCAAGTATAGTGTTGATTTGATCTGATCAAGAGGGATGTAGATAGAGATGCAAACGGAACGGATCACATCGGATTTAAATTAGGGTATATTCGAATCTTACATTGTTTATGTTTATGTTGGATTTAATCCTAAGATTTGATTAGATTTAATAGGACTCGATCTGAATTTAAATGTTATCAGATCATTTTGATTTATTTTCTTTAAAAGTTAATAATTATCACAAAATAAAATTTATTAATTTAAATAAAATAAATAAAAAAATACAAATATTTTTTTATTATTTTTATCATATATATACATATTTTTTATAAAAAATAAATAATATAACATATTTAAAAAAATACTATATATATATATATACATAAATCCCATTCACTTTTTTCATACGATCATGATCCAATCCATTTGCACCCCTACTGTGAATCTGCTACAAATAAGGCATGTACAATGGGCTATTAAAATTTGTTTGTACAATACCCCGACTCAAGAGAATGTGAGAGAGAGATGATGTCGGAGAAAACAAAAACAATTAAAACAACAAAAATCTGAAAATGAAAAATTTAAACCTGACCCGATGGGTACCCTCAACCCAACCTATTTTTATTGACCCAATAAATAACTCAATCCATTCGTTTGATTGGGTTATAACTGGGCAGATTTGGTGGTCGGATGAAAGGGTTACGTGGGTTTGGTTAGGTTAGGTCGGTAACCTAATCCGGGTGTCAATGGGTTGGTTACCTTGTCCCCATAAGTAGTTTCTGGATCCAAAAACATTGGACCAAAAACAGATGGGCTAATGGGTTAAGATTCAATGGAATCCAACTCCTTTTGTTAATTCAACAGGTGTCCGAATTTATTTAAACTGCAACTATTATAGAGTCTTCGGGGTAGTAATCCTCCTCATATAGAAATCAGTCAGCTCTATGTGAGTATTAATAAAGGAAAAAAAGAAGTAGTTTCATTGATGAGCATACTTATGGCCTCCTATGAAGTATGTTGCAAGAGATCACGCTAGTTTCGACTGAGAATAGAAGACAACAACATAATCTGAAATCCCAATTGTCCAAGCCCACAGAAGCCCATCGCATATGCCCCATGGGCCATGATTCTTCCCTACTACACTGGTAGTTCTTCTACTATGGATTGAGACTTGAGAATCCACCCATCCATCCCTACCACTATATCTTAATGCCAACAGCTGCTGCATGGCTCACCCATATTCCCTTTAGCATAATCTCCATCAGTGTTGAGTCCTTAGTCATTGTAAAAAGCTAATAAGACTATGACCTCTCCAAACTAAAGGTTTAGTATTGAATTGGTGTCGGATGAGATTCGTGAACGGACAGTCAGGAAGCAAATGTTGCACTATTTGTTAAGTAGTAGCACACCCAAGACCCAACATTAGGTGTGAAACATTAGTTAGAATGTAGGTCCGGGAAATTAAGATGATATCCAGTTTGGGGAGCTTTCATGGCCCAAATTAAAGTCCATTTAAAATGTTTAACTCCTTGTTGACAGGGAGAGTTTTGCAATTGCAAATTCTTTACCAGATTGTTGTCTCCGGTAAGCAGCAGGAGTAATCGTACTGTGCCACTTAGCCACTCAGCATTTTTGTTTTGATGGTCTATAACTAGTTCCCGAGCCAACATCTATTCTGGATTTATGTGTTCAATTTTATACAGGTAGGATGAGCTCTGATGGAATTTTAAATTGAAAATATAGAAATTTAATCACTTCCTAGAAACCAAGGGAATGACTGAGACAGAGGACTTCAACTTCATCAAAATTGCATTTTCATTTGGTGACAGTATTAGGCTGTATTTGATTTGATAGAAAATAAGACAGAAACGCACACAACCATTTCTGTTTGTTTTTCAAGTAAACCTAAACTTCAGAAACTTCAGGAAAATGATTTATTTTTATTTTACCTTCCGAATATTCTTTAATTTTAGCTGCAATTTCTTTTTTTTGGTCTACTTGGATATCTATTATTCAATCTACTTAGCAACTCGTCTGGTCCTCTAAATATAGAACATATTGGGAAGTTAAAGCACTAGAAAGTTATAGGGGTTCAGTAGCTAAGACATGATATCTTCAAATACTTGACCATGTTTGAATAATCAAATATCACATGCAAGAAAGCAAGAAAATGGGTTGTAAAAATAAATTGGGATTTGGCTTTCTGATATAAAAAAGAATTAGGATCTAGGAAACAAAAACAAAAAAATGTTGGGTAATAGGAGCAATCTATTAGGCAGTAGTGTATATCTCTGATTTTTATTTTATTTTACTTTTTTACAAAAGATTGCAATATATTCTATTAAACTTTGAAAAGTTTGAACATCCAGACCATTAAGGGGGAGTTGGAATAGCAGCTCTGTTCCCTCCTTCCTTTATAAGCGATCTTATGGGCTAAGCTATTTCTTTGTCTCTATACATAATATATATTATACATAGAGCAAAGGATTTTACAACTTTTCTATCCATTTGCATTTGTTAGTGGTTTCATTTACAAGCTGAACCATTCTTTGGGCATCGCAAAAATCCTGAACTTTACTGATCTTTTTTTAGTTTCCTGAAGTCCCAATAGGAGATTCTGAAATTCTGCCTCCAACGATTGGTGAGCCTTTGACAGTTTGACCTGAGACTTACTACTGCAACTACCCTATAATCTGTGTCAATTAGAACAAATGCTGAGGCAGCCCTATTGGTTAGGTTCAATAGATGAGCCATTCAACTCGGAAGCAGAACCACTTTGGCCACTAGTTTCTGGATCAGTGGTTGGACCACCCAATTCGAATGTATAGTTCATTCCAATTTAAAAAATAATTAAAATAAAAAGTGATAAAGAAAATATTGGCCTAGTCAAATGGTTGATGGTTGGACCGTCTGAATCAGCAGGTCATTGACCAAGTCAATGCTTTTTGGCCAAGGAATGGATTAAGCGTGAAAGGGAATTGATTGCTTGGACAGTTCCCTGGTGAATGATCCGACCATCCAGGTCAATGACGGTTTCAAAACAATGCATAGGACACAAAGTTTATCTTTTATGTGGTAGGAAATTCAATTTGTCTTTGATTAGGAGACCACCTCAACAGATTTTCCAAAGGAATAGCTGAAACCCAAATGGCACTCTCACTTCCCAAATGCTTTTCCATGGAACAAAATAATTTGAATAAATGATTTTTTTTTTGTTGAAAGCCCTTATGCAACTTCATTCAACTTTCAATCTTAGTTACAACCTTGAAAAATACAGAACTCAGGAGCAAAGGACCGGGTTTGAGTAGAGAGGCAAGTAAGAGCAAATTTGGCTATGTGGTGAGCTACCTGTTTACCAGATCTCAGAGTAAAAGTAACTGAGAAACCATCAAGGTGATTAAGGAGACTCCTGCAACTTGATAAGAGAGTAAGGATACTCCAAGGAGGATTAGAGTTTTCCTCCAACAAGAGCTTGATAATTGATTCATTATCACCTTCAAAGATGGTATGAGAGAAACCCATGGAAATGGTGAACTTGATACTTTCCAAAAGAGCAGTGGCTTCAGACACAACAGGAGGAGAGAGATTGATTGGAATGGCTCGCGCAAAAATGAAGGAACCAGTGTGGTCTCTCACAACAAAACCCACACCTGACTTTTGAGTGGAGTTAGTGCCATCAAAGTTGATTTTTAAAAAGCCGTTGGGGGGCTTTGCCCAAAGCATTGGCTGCACCAATCTGTTGCTTGCATGATCCATCAAGCTATCATGATAATTAGAGAAGATCAAAAAGTTGTGAAGAGCTAAGCTGGTGGCACGATGAGCAATAAATTGAGGAGCCTCGGGCCTGTTCTTAAAGATGAGCGCATTCCTTGCAAGCTAAATATGCCAAAGAACAGAAAATATTTTTAGTAAGTCAACATCAGTGATGCACCTTGATTTAAAGAGCTTAATCCAGGATGTGATCCAATCCATCAAACTCCTTTCTGAGTTTGGATCAGAATGGATAGAGATATCCGCATCGAACCAAATTTGCTTAGCAAAAGGGCAATTGAGAAATAAGTGTTCAAGTTATTCTTCTTCATTGTCACAAAAAGAGCAAGAAATGGGTATATGTTTCGGCGCCACTTTCAGTTTTCTTTTAACAGGAAGAACATCATGCATAATTCTCCAAATAAAAATATGTAGTTTAGGAGGAATGAATTTCAGACTCCAGAAATAATGCCATGAGATCCTGTTACC